GGGGGGGGGTGGGTGGGGAGGCAAACTGCCCCCTCAACCGAACGTGGAAGGGACTATGGTAATGGAAGACAAAATGATATTTTAGGAGGAACAAAATTGATATTTCAAGAGAGGCAAAGAACCAAATTGCCCTTCCATTTAAGTAAAATCTTAATTTGTGGAGGGCAATTGCCCCCTAGCCCTTCTTGGGTCCCACCCTGTTGCCGAAGGTTTGCATCCGAAAAGTTAAAAGACAAAGACGTCAAACATCATTTCATTAGTTCAGATCGTGTGCTGATTGAAGGAAAGTTTATCCGAACAAAGAAAACATTATGCACCTGATCTGAGAGACGATTGTATATCATCAACTCCCTCTACTAAATTTTGGGATATCTCATAGAGAAAACCAATGATTGCTCCCCAGAACACCTTGACAACCTTCTATGAAGATTTGTCCAAAGGAAAGTTGCCCGCCAGATTACGGTGAGGCATCCTTTGCCTAGCGGTCTAAGTTTGTCCTGAGGTCAAGAATGTCTCTAGGGTGGGTTCATTCAAGAAGGTTACCTAATGACCTTCCAGCCGATCAATGAACTCTCAATCGCCCAGGCGACTAAGAGCCGATCGAAAATGTTAGCATCAGCAAATCATTATTATCCAGCTTCAAACCGTTATGAATAGGGGCATAAACAAGCTGAGCCTAAGACTTTTTTATGTTCAACTCATTAATTTTTTTTTGTTTGTATTCGACTCGTTTATATATCAAGCTCAAAAAATCTATTAGTGCTCGACTTGTTTTCTTAACGAACGAATATAACATGAGTTATTTACTGAGTTGAACACGAGTTGTTCACGACGACTAGTTTTTTTGACAGCCTTAGTCATGAATGTGAAACAGTGCTAGCAGCAGTTACGAATATCAAAGGATCCCATAATCAGTTATAAATAGGTAAAGATGTAATGATACATTAATCACTTGTAATGTTCCTATTTAAACATGAAAAATATGTAACATGCTTGACACTCCCTATAATTTATAAATAGGTTGGGTTTTTCTCCAAGAATGGATTATTAAATCTGTTCAAAAAAACTTATGCTTTAGTGCACTTTGCTTATAATTTTTTTGCCTCTACTCCACTCATATGTTCAACGCTCTCTCCCTTGAGTGTGATAAATAAGATATTTTAGGATTTAAAATTTTAAAAGGTGCGGTGAGCTTGCAGTCGTACTGTCGATAAGAAGAGGAGCGCGTCATAGAGAAAGTCTCAGTTGAGGGAAACTTCTAAAATGGATTTTGTCTGAGAATTCTTGCAACAACAAATTCAGGAACTACAAGATCGAATAGTGGGATAGTTGGCAGCAATGACTCGTGTTGTTCTTGAAGGGAGAGCACATGCTCTTCTAGAACCAAATTCTCACGCACCTAAGCCCCAAGGCCATCAAACGGCTCAGGGAGCCGAATGAGTTGAAGAATCCCATTACCAAGACAGTGATGGGCCCATGTTGAGAAACAAATCACAAACACGATGAATGAAAGTTTACCGCCGACTGGAGAATGCATTCTTCCGACAGATTGCTGATGCATAATCCCTGAGAAGTTCAATGTTCCATCTTTAGTGCCCTAGAAGGGCCAAAGCAATCTGATTGGTCACATTGCATTCTTAAGTCGGCTATATGCATTCTTAAAGTTTGTGACACATTGAAGTTGTCACGACTCGATCTAGGACTTTGAAATTAACGAAGACGGAAATGAATGGTCGGACTGCAGAAATATGTTTTCTACTAATCTATTTCTATCATAAGAAATTTAATATTCAAACAATACGTGAAAGAGTCACTAAAGAACACAAGTAAAATTAACAAGTAGAAATATGTAATTTTCCGTTTGTTATTCTCGTCTTCTATGCATATTTGATACTCTTCTATTCATCTTATTTAAATTCATAAAACCTAGAAATAAAATTAAAATAATATAATGAGTTATCTAAACATAACTTATGAGCAATCACACTTCTAAATAATAGTAATTCAAGGAGAAAATGCAATACGCATGCTGATCATTCATATCTCTATAAAAAATCTTTTAATATACTAAACTTTCATATTTTTATAAGAAATCTTATTTATACCAATACATATATAAATGACATTTTTTTAAAATGAACATATATTAATATTCTATATGCGTTTATCTTAATTTTACTTTTGTTTTATACACTTTACATATATTTCTGTCTCTGTGAGGATCATTATTAACAAAACCTTATTCACCCTTAGCCGATATTGTCCCGTTGACTCTCATCGGCACAACGGTTAACAATCTATAGATCGCAATTGTCTAGGGTGGAAAGACCTGTAACTGCTCCTAGCCGATATTATCCTATCAACATAACAGTTAGCAATTTAAACATCACAATTATCTAGAGAGGTAAGCTTTGATCTACTTGGCTCTGGCCGATATTATTCCGTCGGCATAGTAGTTAATGATCTATCCATTAAATATATCTGAGGTGGTAGAAAAACGTTACATGCGTTGGTACACTGACGTTCACTGTCTGTAGCATTAGAGGATGTAATACTTCTCTAAACATGCACATACAAACATTCATATATAAGCTATTTCAATCTTTATAACATACATTATTATGAAATATCTTTATTCGTCTACTAATCCGCATCTTTATCTGCTATGCAACTATTAATCATCATATCACATATATTTATATCTCATGCATATCTCTTAATTATATCACACATTATTTTCCATCATGTTTATCATGCGTATCTATTCTATCATGTCTATCATGTAGACATGTATATAATAAATCTCATGCATCTCATACATATCTTACATGCATTTCTGTCATGTCTAATCATACATATCTTTCACATATATTTATCATGTCCGAAGCAATATGAAAAATCTAATTAAACTAGAGCATATATGAAGTCAAACATATCTTTTGAAATAAAGAAAATTACTGAATTTTTGAAATATTATTACTCACCTCGATTCCCACACGAGATTCTTGATCTTTGGTAGTTGACAGGAAATTGCAGTAATTTTTATGTTAATTTTAATAATCTATAAAATATAAATTTTAAACTTTAAGATTCAAGTGATTTCCGTAAATTAAATTATTCTTCTTAAATTAGCATGAAATTATTTTTCCTGAAATTTACGGAACCATCCTACGGCGATCTTCTATACGCTTGCTTCGAACGTACTGCCTCAGGTAAACAATTTGGAATCTATAAATATCTAAGGATTTTTAACTTTTTAGCTCATAAAGTAATTAAACCCAAAAGAAGTAAGTTTCTTACCTCAAATAAGCTTCTCGACACAAGTCCACCCTTCCGAAGTTGCCAAATATTCTTCCTTTTTCTTCCTATCTTCTCAATCTCCTCTTTTTCTTTGCTAATATCGTGCTAAACAAAAACTTTGAAACCACTTACAACACTTTCAACACAAATTTGGCATCTCCGACAGTTAACGAAAACAAACAATACTTAAAAAACGATGCAAATCACAAATTGGAAGCATGAGGAAGGAAATGAAAGTCACATAAATCGTTAAAATCAGTTTCGTACCTTAAGATTTTGCCCCAGAGTCAAAATCATGAGTTGTGACTCCCTTGCCTTCAACTCACCCCTTTTCTTTTGCGGCTGCTACAGTGGCTCAAGCAGAAGCCTTGCAGGAACTCACAGGATCCCTTATGCCGAGAGAAAATCAGAAAGGGAGGGAGGGACGTGCGATAGAATCAGGTGCTAGAAGAGGGAATTCGAGAGGGAAGGAATTTCAAAGGCTCTAGATGGACCCCAAGACACATAAATCGAATGATAAGTCGATTGGGTACAGTCATCAGAATTGGGGAGGAGTTAATTAAGGTTTAATTAATTTAATTAAATTTATAACTTTTGATTTCTATATTTTTCAATCTATTCATAATTTATATATAATATTTTATATTGAATTGATCGATTTTACCCATATAATTTTATAAAATTAATTTGGTTGAAATATGAGAATTTGAAATATTTACTCGATTTTTCAAAATGGATTATTACACAAGTGTTAACTGTCTTACACCACACTGAGAGATTCAACACTTAGATGGTTCATAGTGAAGTTCACTATGGCCCAAAAACCTACACAAGGACTTAAAAGCTCTATGATACGTCAAACATGGGTCGAATGAGAGCCTTCGGGCATATAACACACTATTCCAGAAGGAGATGCTGGAAGTATGAAACCTTAAACCTGCCATAGCAAAGGTTGCCCTGGTCCCAAATTAAATACTTTCCGGGTTTACGTAAACCCGATACTTTTTCCTAGCTTCTGTAGTTGGCCAATGATCATATTGCAGCGGAGGAATATGTCAACCCGCTTGTTTTAAAAGGCGAATAGTTCGATCGCCGCTCGAACAAAAAAGGCTCTCGAGATGACAAGTGGAGAGAGAAGGATGACTCTCACCTAAAATGGGAGTGAGTTTGTGGTCGTCTCGTGGTGACAGTGAGGTCAATTGCAATTCACGAAGACAGAGTCGATCAAATGATTGATCGATGGTAACCAAGGAACATTAAAGCCTGCTCAACTGAGGTTTTTAATGGCAAAGTTGATGAAAGCTATTCAAGCTAAGGAGTACTTCAAGAAGGTTCTACCGATGAGAACTGAAGCTTTTCTCCATAACACCAACAAATTCTGCAAGTATCATATGAACTATGGTCACGACATGGAGGAGTGCATACACCTCCGAAGCTTTCTTGAAGAACTGATTTGGGCTGGAAAGCTCAAGGAGGTTGTGACCCTGGAGCACTAACCCAGCGATAGGGGAAAGCACCTGCAAAAGATGACTCAGATGAACCTGCTCGAGTAACTGCTATCTACATTGTTAGGATAGTGCCGACTATGTTTGGGGGACTCGGTCAGAAGAGCCGACTGTAAGAGGCTCCGATCAGGGGAATGCTATGTTGTTGCTTCCACCTCAAAGCGGAGGCCCACTCCCCCAATCCCCCAATCATCTTTACCGATGCAGGTTTGCCCCCGTAAGGAATCCTTACAATGAAGCTATAATTGTTATGGCAATGATCAATAACTACGAGAAAAGTTCTTGGGATATCTTTTGATGCCCGAAGGAATAAAGGCTAATCCAGAGAAGGTAAGAATGCTCTTGAACATGCCTTCTCCTCAGAATGCTATAAAAATACAATGCTAATCGACCAAATAGCAGCTCTCATTTGGTTCATTTCCAAGTCGGGCGACAAATGTGCAGCTTCCTTCAAAATACTGAAGAAGGCTAAAAAATTTGAATGGCCGATCAATTTTGAGCAAACATTTTAATGCCTAAAGTAATCGTTGGCCTCGCCTTCATTGCTACAAAGTTTGAAATCGAAGGAAGAACTCTCTCTATATTTGGGAGTTGGCCCGGAAGCTATCAGTTCGGGAGGAGCTGGGAAATCAATTTGCCATCTACTACACAAGTCGAGTTCTCAGAGGTGCTGAAGTCAGGTATCCTATTATGGAAAAAACTAACATTTGTTTTAATTATCTCTGCTCGTAGGTATTTATGAATGCACCTAATTAGGGTCATCACTGACCATCAACTCAAATCTGTGGTCCATCTGAAACATTTCGATTTGCTCTTAAAGTGGGCTATGGAACTCAATGAGTATGACATCACTTACATTCCTCGAACTTTGATTAAAGCTCAAGTTGTGGCTGATTTCCTAGCAGACTTCTCCGAACAAGTCGAATCAAATGAAGAGACTGGAGTTGGCGACCAAACCTGGACTTTGCACATTAATGGAGCCTCGAGCTAGACGAGCCCAGGAATCAGACTGACGCTAAGCAGTCTGACTGAAGAACGTCTCCATCACTATGTCGCGCTTGAGTTTGAAGTCACAAATAATCAGGTGAAATATGAAGCACTAATAGCAGGACTACGCTTAGCTCTTGAAATAGGCATCCATCATCTGCTAGTTAAGTTAGATTCTCAATTGATGATAAAATAAGTTAACAGAGAATTTGAATCCAGAGACGAGATGATGATCAAATACTTGAACAAGGTAAAAACAGAGATAGGAAAGTTTGCGTACTTCAGAATCGAGCACGTCTGACGAGAGGACAACCATGTAGTTGATCTTCTGTCAAAGAACATTTGTTTTTGAGAAAGGATGCCCTTAAGTTTTTTTCGTTCGACTATTAAAGAGTTTGAAATCATGGAAGTGGAAATTGAAAATGCAAAGAGTTGGATGAATCCCTACATCCAATAACTAAGAATATTTGTTTACTTTCTGAAACACTTTATTCCACTTGTGATAAATGATGATTATTTATCATAGTAGGCTTTTGATATTGATTGGAGTATTTAGAATGTCAATATCTTAGTTGATAAGAGATTTCGTATTATTTATCCTTAGGGGCATAAATAAGAAGAAAAATCTATTGATACTCATTTTTCTTCATTGTACTTTAAGATAGGATGGTGTAATTTTGTTTTGCTTTGGCATTTCGTAGTAAATATCTTTGTTGTAATCATATCATTATCTAGTTAATATGTTTTCTAATAAAAGAATATAAATCCGTGGCTCACTTAATCTTAATTTTATTCTTTTTTGTGTTACAATTTTGCATTATGTGCAATGAAATTAACTTCGATTAATAAAAGAGTTTTAATATATAATGTAGAGAGCTGTTTTTTAATATTATTTTTCATATTTATGCCTCTAATATGATACATAATTTTTACATTGCTTATGATATGTACAAGTTGACATAAGATTATCGAATAAAAAATCAAATAAGGTATTATGCTATCATTAAATAAGGAATTTATTCACGAATTATTTGAATAATAAACGAAAATGTTCCCAAACATAAATGAATAAGCTTATCATTGTTCAAGCTTGTTCATTTTTATGTCCAGCTTTTAAACTTAATTTTGTTTTGGCTTTTTCAATTATGTAAATAAATAAATAGAAATGAGCCTCTTATGAGTGAGAATATTGAGCTGTTTATCAGGTGCATGTTTACTCACAGCCCTATACTGAGAAATAGAAATAGATTAATAGGAAAATCTCATACGTGAGATTTAGCCACGTATCTTAGAGTGCATATCCTGCCCAAGAATTTTAATGAAATATGCATGTTATATAAAAGCTTTATGTGAAAGTATGTTATTTATGCATGAAAGAGTTATTAACTTCAAGTGTTTATTTCATAAACTTTGCTATTAATTTAATATCTTGTTTTCTTTATTTGTTTTGTTTAGTGGTTAGTTTGATATTTCTCCCGTATATGAAATTTTAGGCATGCTTAAAGAGTTGACGGGGTTCTAATATGTTCTATTGATGTTTCAGGATATGCTCTGCAGCTTCTTCAGCTTAGTGGGGTATGTCCTTGGTTGCATTTTTGAAATAGAAAAGTTACTTGCCAACTTGTCTTGTTTTTTATCTTACTTTTTTTATCTGGCTTTCATTGCTTCTTTCTTTTGTTAGGAATTAGTAAATGTAAACGTTCATTTACTTTGTTCCAGTTATACTGCCTGAACAGCAGGTGGTCATACTTCATTGTTACTATAGTCTTGCAAATGTGATTGATGATAGTTGTGGAACTAACTACAACTAATCAGTAAAGAAAGTAGGATTATTTGAATAACTAGATGATCAATTCACTCAACTGATCTCTTATTTCTCATGTATTGACTTCAGGATTTCTAATCATGACATTCTCTAAGCACAGCAAATGCTGCTGTTTGGCTTCAAGCGCTTAAAAAAAAAACTCTGCTAAATCGATAAAATGTATAACATCTAAGTAGTTAAATGCCATCTATCTTGTGATCGATTTTTTTTTGATGTGTTGTATTAGATTTAACGACAATCAAATCTCTAACCGTTATTACTTATTATTTTTTTCCTATTAGCTTTTATTCCCTCATTATGTATTTCCTTTTGACTTTATTTTATTTTTTTTTATTTGGTTTATTTTGTTTTATTTTTTTTCCTTTGTTGTGTCTATTACATTTGGATTTAAATACTCCTCATTCTTTCAATAAAATTAAGCTGCTCTATTCCAATTGTCAACATAATATCAGAGCCTAATCCTAGATTCGACAGCCCCTACCTTCTCTGCTGGTTCCAGCAGCTGCCACCTAGCCGCTGGCCTCCTCCGCCTGTTCCAATAGCCGGTGATTCCCCTTGCTACAAGTGCATCCATCTGCTTGTTCCAACTTCCGTTTTCGTTGGTTCTGCAGACGTCGGGTCTACTGAAAGAAGCAACAGCCGCATGTTCCGTCTGTTTTTAGTTCCAGCCCTAAGTTACTCTTTTCCGTCTGTTTTTAGTTGCAGGTTTTGTATGGCTCTACAGGCATCTGTTTCCAGCAGCAATTGATCCAACCTCCAACACCGAATCACCTTTAGATTTGTTTCCAACAACAGTCTGGTTCTACAGGCATCTGTTTCTAGAACCAGCCGATGCAACTTTCTGAAGTTCCCTGCAAATGTCCAAATTCTTGTAGTTGTATCCATATGTCGTGACTCTACTGGAATTCATCTATGGCTCAGAACCACAACATCTCCTTTGACTTTGTTGGAATTATGGAGGATTCCTCCAACATTGAATCATCCTCAAAACGTGTTCTTGATTCCATGGGAGGATCGACTCCAACCTCCACTCTCTTGGAGATCGGAGGACCGTAAACTAACATGAGTTTCTTGATCACTACTCATAAACTGAACAACAATAACTTTCTCTAATGGTCCCAAGTGCAGTCCTTATGCATCAAAGGACGTGTAAAGTTTGGTCACCTCACAGGAATGTTGCGTGAGCTTCCAAAGACTGACTCGACATATGGAGCTTGGGAAGTGGAGACTTCATGGTCATGTCCTGGCTGATCAACTTCATAGGGACGTCGATTGGTAGTTCATATATGTTTCTCCCTTCTGTTAGTGTTCTCTAAACAGTTGTCTGCGATACCTACTCAGATGTAGGAAATTTCGATCAACTCTATGAAGTATCTAAGAAAATCTGGGAAGCAAAACAGCGGTCAAGGACCGTGACCTAGTCTAATAATGACCTTGTTGTACTATGTATGCAATGCAACCTATACTATAACTACACTTGGGATTCTTCGGCAGACCTGTCCCTTTTCTAGAAGATTGTAGAAAAGGATTGTATGTTCTAATTTTTGGCTGGCCTTAACAATGAGCTTGATGAAGTTCAAGGCCATATTGTTAGTCACGATCCTCTTCCTTCCCTCACACCTCTTTTATCGTGATCTGTCGAGAAGAAAGCTGGAGACTCGTCTTGCTCGTCACCTTTTTTCCTTCAGCCGAATCGTCGACCTTGATCTCAAATAGTGATCAACTCTGATTCATGCCACCTCGAACTAGTCACCCTATTTGTGATTACTATCATAAACCCAACCACACTCGGGACAAGTGTTGGAATATTTACAATAAGTTGGCTTCCGTTTGGAATCTTACTACCCAAAACATCCCGGAATCCTCCGAATCACTGAAAATTCAAATGGAGCAATTGATCAAGCTTCTTGGGGTTCGTCGACCTCCCACGTCCTTCAAGGTACTCTTCCTATGGCTCTTATAGTTTATTCCTCCTCTAGTCCGTGGATTATTGATTCAGGAGCCATGGATCACATGATTAGATGCTCACAAGCTTTCTCAACTTATTATTCTTGCTTTCGAAAAGATACAATCAGAATTGTTGATTGTTCATGTAGTTCCATTACTGGTAAATGGTCGATTATACTAACAATTGATCTAACTTTGGAGTCCGTTTTACATGTTTTGCAGTTGCAATGTAACTTGTTATTTGTCAGCAAGCTGACGAATGATGTTAATTATGTTGTTAATTTCTCTTATTGTGGTTGTGTTTTTCAGGATCGTCGTTCGAGGAGGATGATAATAACTGCTAAGAGGGTAATCAAACTCTACTACTTCAAAGAAAAGAGCTCAGAAAGTGCGGACACACCTCTCAAAAGTTGTAGCTCACCTCAAGTCATTGAATGTCCTATTATGTTATTGCATTGTAGTTTAGGTCATCCTAGTTTTCAATATTTAAAAAATTTGTATCGTTTGATGTTTTCTATTACCACTCTACACACTCCAGCTCATTTCTCTCTCATTCGTAGTGACTTATTGAAACGTTCTCGTGCTCGTAGCTGCACCATTAAAAGATCGCTCCTGAATTTAATTGATGACCATTCTCAAATGACCCGGGTCTACATTTTAAATGACAAGTTGGAAGTTGTTACTTTCCAAAACTTCTACACCTTCGTTTTAACCCAATTTAAAACTCCTATTTATGTTCTTTGAACTGACGATGATTGTGAGTTTTTTTAACTCTATTTTAGGTGAATTCTTGGTGGTAAGAGTATTCTCTACCAGCTCATGTACATACACTCAACAAAATTGGATGATCGAGAGGAAAAACTGTCACTTATTCGACGTTGCTTGTTCCATTTTGTCCATTTTGTTTCAATCCAATGTCTTGAAATATTTTTGGAACGATGTCATTCTTATTGCCACTTATCTCATAAATAAAGTCCTTTCTTAAATTCATAAGTTTTGAACCCCCTTAGCTGCTTGATGTCATGCTTCTCTGCCAGTCGGTTCTTATCCACATTAGACCCCAAGATTTTTTGGTACACTACTCTTGTTCGGAGTACTGTCCCCAATCAGAGTAAATTTGATTCCAGATCCATAAAATGTATTTTCCTTGGGTACTCTGCTATTCAAATAGGGTATCAGTGTATTGATCCTATCACTAACAAAATCTATGTGAGTGCTGATGTCTCATTTTTTGAAAGTATTCCCTATTTTCCTAGCTCTGCCTTAAGTGAAGAGCATGTGGTCTTACATTATCCCTTATTCTATTTTTATGGATGTTCCCCCTATTATTCCTGCCACTGAAGATTCCCCTGTTTCAGTGAGTGCACCATTTCCTCCTCCCACTATTCGTGTCTACACTCTTTCTTTCTTCATTGCTGTTTGGTTAACCATGATATCATTTGGTATCAGAGCTAGCTTAATCCTAGTCCTATCATAGGGTTAGCTAAATCCATCAAAACCTAACCCATTCATTTCACATCAACCCATTCCTTTATTGAATTTTCAAATTGATCACCCAAAATATTTTCTTTATCACTCATATCACTCCATACACATTTCTTTTACATACCCCAAATCTAAACTCTAGTCATGCCACCAAGAAGACAATAGTTGGAAATCTGTTCGAGGACAAAATGTTGCTAATGAAAAATCCAAAAAAAGGTTTCCATGAACTTTTTAGGGAGGTTGTACAATGGAAAATACTCGAACTACAACAAAGGCTCGCCGCCTTCTAGAGGAGATGATCGGGAGGGGTCACATATAGCCAAAATGGTGTTCGCTAGAATACAGTGAATCCCATCCACCAGACAAATTCCATATATGAAGAATCACTACCCTGAAGTTTTGACATTAAATATCTTAAAAGCCACGATCTTGAAGTAATTATGGATTTGTCATATTTTGATGGCCGCTTGGATTCGGATGAGGCCATCAAGTGGCTCTGGATAGTGGAAAGTGTATTTGAGAACCAAGATGTTCCATAGGAGGGAATGGTAAAACTAGCCGTCAACAAGTTATGGAATAGTGTATCTCGATGGTGGGAGAACTTGAAGATTCTTTGACAACGAAAAGTGAATAGTAAAATTACTATCCGACCCCAGATGAATCGAAAATGTAACGTCAATACCTATCAGTTCATTATAGATATTACATGTTTTTGGGGCAACATCACCAAATAACTATCACATCTAACAGACAGAGTTCAATCCAAGGATTGAGTAGTAAGAGTACAACCTACGAAACATCCACGACGACCGCGTCTGAGGAGACACTAGTTCGGAGTAGAGAACAGGTGGAACCAATTCTATAGTAACTAAAATTAAACAAATAAATAAATCAATATAATAATTATATTAATAATAATAAATTGAGAAGACACTAAGAATAAGTTTCCCTTCAGTTACAACTATCAGTTATAATATTAATATTAATCAATAGTTACCCTCATTCTAATCAATGAGAGACAAACAATAGAAGAAGGAAGAGAAGAAGATGAGAAAGAAAAAGAGAAGGAAGTAACCGCTTGCTGCATAAGAGACAACATTAAGCCCTAGCCCATCGGTCGAGGAGGAAGGAAGGTGGTTATGCGGCTTCACTGCTTTGTTCAGGCATGTCTAACCCTAACCGAAAGAAGCAGCGATGTTCTGCTCGCGTGTAGAGGAAGGAGGAAGCAACATTGTTTTGCGTGTGCAGTGTCGGATTGAGACTTGGCCGAAGGCAGAGGAGAAAGGAGGTATGCGGCTCTATCGAAAGGAGAAAAGAAGCCGTAGCCATAAGCTTTGCATGCGTTGCCCTAGGTTGAGCCGAGACCGAAAGAGAGGAAGGAGTTGACATGGAGGAAGTAAGGCTCTGTTGAGAGGAGAAATAATATCTCACGCTGCTCTGTTTGGTCACACCAAGATCGAAGGAGTGGAGGAAGGAGATCTAAAGCTCATGCTTGCGTTAGGGCAATCCGATTGACCGAAGTTAAAAATATGAGTATGTGTTTTTAGAAAGTTTATTTGAATCAAGAAAGGAAGGCTTGATAAATTCTTGGGATTTAAGAAAGAGTTGAATCAAGACATTCAAAGAAGGATAAGGTAAAATTTTATAAATTTTATGCGTTAATTATAGAAATTGGTTTAAATTAAAGATGGTGTTAAATTCATATCAACAATTTTATGAATTAATATTAGTGATTTTAATTTATCAAATAGTTGAATTAAAAGGACGATAGAGAAGTCAAAATGTTAGGTGAAGTGAAGTGAAGGAATAAATATTTCGAAGGACTTTTAAAGCAAGTGAGTTATCATTTTATTTTATGCATTAAATTATGTTTTATTAAATGAATAATTACTTTATTAAATGGTTTAAAACAAATATTTCATTTATGCCTTGTAGTTTGAAAGTTTGAAATGTGTATCAGAAATGGGAGAAAGTAACATAAATATGGATATAGATTTTAAAAGATTTTAAATTTGAAATGATATGTAACGACTTAAGTCACTCTGGATTGTCCTCATATTGTACTAACAGTGGATGCGATATATTTGTGCACAATAAAAAAAATAGTAAAGGTGTACTTTCAGGTGCAAAATTTGAGTATACCTACGGATACAATTTTAAGAATACATTCGGGTATGATGATAATCCTATTATGACTCTTAAAAATGTTAAACAAGGTAAAAACTTAAATTGAAACGAGAAATGAAAAAATATAAAGTGTAAGTTTACACTTTTATTCTTACATAGCATTTGCATATCAATTTAATATATATTAAGATTATAATTGTTCACTAAATCAAACTTACTGTTAAAATTAATGGTTTCTTTGAGGAAAAGAAAAGTTGTAGGTTAATATGACTAGCATGAGGGATTTAGTTTATAGGAGTATCACTGCTGCTAGATATTATGATTTTTATTTTTGCAATATTTTTTTTTGACAATGATATAATTTTGCGTGGATTTAGATATTCTTACTTGCATATTATTCTATTATTGTTGGATGATTTAAATATTCTTATTTGTATTTATGGATTTCTTAGTGACTCTTTATTATATTGGAAGATTTAAATATGAGGACAGTAAATTAAATGTTATTATTATCCGGCTGCAGTCTTGACTTACTTTAATTTGAGTTATCAAGCTGGGTCATGACGAATCTGCATTCTTAAATCCGTCCCAACCAAGAAATGTTTCAAGTGCCACGAATTTTGGCATGCAGAATCAACTTGCCAACCAGAAAAATGATATCTTTTATTAATTGGGGAGCAGTTGAAAAAATGGACAATGATATAGTAGGCACTGAAGGAGGGGACACAAAGGAGTACCAAATTTCAACTTATGAGAGAAAAAACACATAGCTCAAGCTCAACCCGTGATAGAGACTCCAACAGAACTAACATTGGTGGTCCAAGACAGTCCCAAGTACAAGGCACCGACTCCAAACGCATGACAACCCTAGATAAGAGAATTTCAGACTTTTTCTAATTTATAGTCTACTTCCTCAATTTTCCCTACTGAGGGAAGTCCAACGTATCGGAGCTGAAACCCTTTTGTGACACTTATAGAAAACTATGTGGAGTCATTTGAGTATTAAAATAGTTCAGCAGTATACCCACCAACAGTTGATCAGACAGAATGGATGAATCTCAATGTTGGAAAGTCCTTTGGATCTTTGGGGACAATAACATCCTACAATGGGACTCGAGTCCTTTCAGAGAAGAAGAAGAGGCCTCTCATTAGCGTTTACACTTTAGTGTGGTCTACCCTAACATAATTTTCATCTCAAAGCTAATTCCTCCTTACATATAGACTCAGACGAGTATGGGGAGTGGAAGAAGCAATTACAAATCTAGTGGCCTGAAAGTTACTTTGGGAGAATCTACGTCTATATGTAGTACCAACTTAGGTTGTGTCAAAAGAGGATGGATACATATTATATTAGGATGCACTTTGGAATAAAAACACTTGCAGGATTGGCTTACTGGGCAATTATAGTAGTTCCACTCTTTTTAATGTGGTCGACCTGATGTCATACTATGAGGAGACAGAAGCTTCGACGGATGAGGTTGAAGATCCCATAATCCGGGGAGATTGGAGCGGGCATTTATTTCCCCGTGAGACTATGACAAGCGCGGTTTGGACTGTTAGGTCCAAATGATTCGATGGTGAACCGACCCTCTTGTTTACTTGGGGTTGTTGCCCACCCTACAGGGGACACTCCATAGTTGCCCTAATATTATATATTTTGTTTCTTCGTGTTTTAGGTTAATTTTTGTGTATTCTTGTTTGGGATAGCCACTGGTGTCTCTTTTTTTCCTTCGAGGTATTTATCCAAGGATCTGGGTGGTGCTCCAGATGTATCTCGCTCATGAGGTGGTGATTATCTTCTTTATCCCCTTTCGCATCCTCCCCTCCCGGCTACCCTTCATTGTGGAAGTGCCCCCGAACAGCAGCCCGTTGCTGTTTTCACCGCATTTCTCAAATTCTAGCCGGCTGTCCTTCCTTTCACCACCCCAAACAGGCATCCTCTTGTTGTCCCGCAGTCCCCCCGCATCACTCATCGCTAACTCCGTCATTTCTTCTCGCTGCCGTCGCCCAAAACAGCCACTATGCGCTGTTTTCCTTGCTGTCCAACCTTCATTCTCACTGCCACTGCTCAGAACAGCAACCAAACTTGTTACCGCAGCTCCACAGATTTCCCTCGCTGCTACCAATACCCCTTTGCTTTCGCCACACTTTCCTGCTGCTACCTCTCTAGGGGTCCAAACCCTCGCCAATCACCACCACCATTTCGAGATCCACCCTAATTTGAGTTTGTATTGCCATTTGTTGCAATTTATGATTTCTTGTATCTTTGGTAGTAAGTTCCTATTTGAATTCCTTAATAATATTTATTTTCTTATTGTTGTTTGGTTAACTCTGATAGTACTATAATAATCATACGCAACTGCGAAAAAATGTATGGTGAAGCTCTGATCACTATCATGGTTGAATTTTTTTTTTATTATTATAATATCATCATTAAAGCAGCAAACTGGAGCATCCAGCCTGATTATTTTGTTACTGGGCTGTACCTTTTTTGGGCAATTTAAGAAAAGCTTGAATATGATATGGCATCTTTCTCATGGCCTTTTTCAATTTTTGTTTCAGTTTGTATAATTTGATTTATTCTTATCTTTCGAACTGAAAATATAATCTAAAGTTTTTGTTTGGATGTATAAAAACCAAGTTGTTCCTTCTGACCGTGAGCTAATGCATCCGTACTGTTCATATTTAATAATTTATCTTTCAGGGAACCATCAAATGGATTATTTTGCTATGCTCAGGACTATAGTGCACATTTCTTTTGCATAGCATCCTTTCTGTGGACTACAACAATTGCGTTCACACTTCATCGTACTGTTGTCAAACACAAAACTGACGTTGAAGATTTTGGATCAATTTTTCATCTGTATGTGTGGGGTATGCTAACTACTTTCCTTTGTTTTCTTCTTTCAATGCATGAATAGTTTTTAAGATAATTTCTCTGTTTTCTATCTCTTGTTAATATGTTCTATTGAAGAACATCAATGTAATGCATATGGGTGAAACCAAATTTTGGTTGAGCGAGCTGGCCTTACATGTATGCGTTACTACTTATATGCATGCTTGTATGAACGCATATAAGATATGTGCATGTACGAGTCAATTTAAAAGTTAAATTGAACTAATTTTGAGCCATCCATCTTCAAGTTGAAGCAAATTGATTTTGTTTCTTAGCCAATTAAAATTTCAGTGATTATCTAGTGATTTTGTTAGTGGAAAACATAACTGTCAGCTCTAATAGTGTTTTATCATATGTTTGGGAGTTTATTAGGTATTATTTAATGTTATCTTTTATGTCTAATTGATTAAAAGACATGAATAAGGAGATTAATGGTGCGCAAGAGAAACCAAATCATTATGATGGATATCCCCATATTGATGCGAGAGTTCTTAGGGTTTAGGTTTTTATTAATCTAACATGGAATGTAGAAAATAATGCAACAAAGAAGAAAATTCCACATGACTCCAGCTAATCGTACTAATTAATGAAAATAAAATTTAGCATTGGTGTCCACACACAACCTGAATCTCATGCAACAGAAAGATATATAAATAGTGACTAGTTTGACGAAACACTATCTTATTTTTAACCAATAACACGAAAAAAGAATAGAATAATAAGAAAAATGAACTGAAGAAAAAAAAATGAAGTAATTACAAGAAATGAGCCTTACAATTTCATAAGAAGATGGGCTTTCATGAAATTTCTAAGTCATGCATTTGATCGAGGAGCTGATTCCTGAAAGTAGAAAACATTTTCATGTTAGAATCCTAATTTTACTTATGATTCAATAGTTTTCTCAAGTGCCTCAGGCTGCCCTTATTTGTAATTTTAAAATTAATGCTGAAAGCAACCACTAAAGGACAACATACGAACTTCAATAGAATGAGAAATTTTTGGAAGGAGCCTTAGCAGAATATCATTATCAGATAGAAAACTCACAAGATAGCTAAAATTCTATCTAAAAGCCTCTAGGACGTTCAAGGAAAGCTACCAATATAAGGAATTATAAAGAGTTCGCAAGAAGTCATCGACAGAAAAACCCATAAGGAAGCCAATTTTGCTGAAGGCCTGGGAGAAAGGATTCGTAGAAATAGCTGCACTTTTCTGTTGAAATTAACAAAAGGAAGTTAAATGCAGTTGTGATGATAAATTTATGAACTTTAGTTGAAATAAAAAAAAGGAATGGTACATATCAACACACACCGTTGAAATTTTATGTGACAAGAAATTTAGGGTGTAGTAAATATATTGAAATTCAATCACAACAGACAAATAATAACGCAATATGACTTGTGAAGGTGGAGGGGAAGAAAAAGAAGAGGGAAAGATGTTGCTGGAATGATAGACCTCGAATTTGTATAACTGAGGCGAGCTTGCCCAAATATTAAGTCTCACACTTGATTAGCAAGCTGAATCTCAGAAGGAAAATGATGATTTACGTACCTAAAGGATTTTGTTTTTCAATATCTATTTGTTTGCGTGCTCTGATTTCCTATTTATAACCAAAAAAAGTAATAATAATAATAAATTTCATAATGCAACTCCCTGAAGAAGGAATCAACTTTAGCAACTTAGAATTCCCACAAGGGCCAAAACAATTGATGCGCTTGTTGCTATATGTCTAGGAAGCCATGGGACAAATTGCATAAACCATCGTTTTGCTATTGTATTAAAACAAACCTGTGAGGAAACTATGGTAGAGACCACAAGAAAACTCTAAAACTAATCATGGAAGTTGTTTGAATTGCATATGCTACTGTCTGGGAAACCAAATGAAGCCATTGATTAACATGAAATATCAAAAATATATTAAATACAGAAACGAAAAGTCACCTGCAAGAGTTGTAAAATAGGAATAAACGGAGAGGTTGCTAGAGGTGCGGAAATAAGATAGGCGTAGAATCACATCAAAAGCTCAGAAATTGTGGTAAATTTCCCAGCTTAGTACGATAAAATGAGATTTTATTCAAAATGACTTTGGCGATAGTTTTTTCAGAAGTCGAAGCAACTGATTTTCGTTTTGATATCTATTATTTTTTTCAAAATTTTAATTCTTTTTTGTTTGCCTCATATGCCAACATTTTTACCATTTCTCCTGCTCATGCTTTTGACACATGAATTTTGGCAGGAACCTCTTTTGCTATGACTGTCATACGTTCCATAGGCAGTGACTATGGACCGATAGGCGCGTGGTGTTGGACTGGGTCCGGAAAGAAGGAAAAGGCATGTGCTTACTTTTATTGCAAATATATGGCATAGCAACTCATTATTTTTTTCTTAGGATTATATAGTGATTCTGATACTAGATTTAGCCCAAACCACAACGAAAAATAAATGCTTTTATTCGAAATGAATACTTGGTACATGATTGCAATGAAAAAGAAAATGCAACAACCAACACACAACGCTATCACTCAACTTTGGCTGAATTCGAGTTGGAGGGAAGGCTGCCAAGAGGGTATGTGGCTGAGAAAAGAAAGGTGATTGGGGTGATCTGGTGACAAAGGACAACAGATGGAGGGTTGGGAGATAAAGGACAATATGTATGGGGGTTTGCGGACAAGGGGAATATCAGATTGGAGGGGTGGAGGCTAGGAGATAGTGAACTAGGAGAGTTCGGCGACCAGGAAACAACAGGTTGGAAGGGTTGACGACAAGGGAATAGTAGGTGGGGAGATTCAACAGCGGAGGAAGCAGTTGGAGGGGTTGTTGGTAGCACCAGACAATAGAGCGCGGGTTGTACGGAAACGACGACAGCGAGAGGGATGGCTGAAAAGGTTGCGGAAGGATTGTGCAAGGATTAATATCGCTGCAGGATCAAGCTATAGTTGGAGCACCCCTGTCGATCGCTATTTTTTTTTGAAAGGAGATAAGCAATGATTTTTGTAAATATGAAAATAATTTTAATATAAATATGATTTTTGTAAGTAACATTTTAATTTTAAAAATAGACGAGACTAAAATGAGTCTCACATATTAAATAGTTTAGACGGTTGAATGCGATATCACAAGTAATACACTATCCCGAAGGATAAACATACAACTTAACAATAGACTCAATCACATAAACTAAGAAGTTTGTGACATCCGTTTGACCTGCAAAACCTTTTATGTGTGACCGATAAATTCCCTTACCTAATATAAAGATTAAATAAAATTTATTTTACCTGGGTTCAAAGTTCCCTATAGAGTCAAGTCTCTATAGTTAATTATATCTTAAATGATCGGGGCACTTAAAAAAACTCTCGATTAAGATCAGTGATTTTACCTTTCAGATTTCCCTTTCAGATTTCAAAGTTTAGGATTTCAAAGTTTAGGCTTTTAAGATCGGACATGAGAAAATCAATTGAGAATGACTCAAATAGGAACAATTATTTTTAAGGAATCCAAAAAAATAAAGAGTAGAGGATATCACAGATCCAGGGAGAACTCAGTGACCTCCCAACTATCCTATTGTTTGACTTTATATCTTTGAAATGATGTTATTTAATGTTTAATCCTACAATTTATTTTTTAGAATTTAGGACTTAGATTCGCACGATATCTAATCGTGCAAATGACCTAAAAAGATAGAAAGATTTACACCGTACAATACGGTAACCTCAGAATCCTAAAAGTATTAGGACTTATAATTGTACAACAGGGTTATGCAAAAGTCCTAAAGATAAGGTGAGGATTTACGTTGCGCTAAGCAAACTATCTCGAAGTCATATGACTTGTTATTTAAACTAAGGAAAATGCTTAGTTGACGTGAACTTGTTTTGATGTTACAGATCCATCTCGAAGTTGCTCTTCTGTGTGTCCTCGTCTTGTTGCCTACGGTGTTTGCTCCAAGCTCCTCGTTGTAGCACCTTCAGATTTGATGTTAATTTTAAGGGTATATGCAATTATTGTTTAGTCAACGATCTGCTACCGGATACTTCCTATGAAACAAACTACTAACCTCTTATTATGAGGTATAATGTGTAAAAGAAACAGTAGTAGGTATAAGTATAATAACAAAATTTAAGAAATGAGCTAGCATGCCTTGTATCAATAAAAGAACTACCACTTGGAAAAACTCAAGAAAGAGCGACAAATGACCCGTGATGAAAGAAAACTCGAGAAAATTGATAAATGGCTCACGATGGAAATCTCAAATTAAAAACAACAAATGGTAACTCAAGGAAAGTCACCGAAAACACGGGAAGATCCCAGAAAAAGACCACTAGTGCTTTACCAAAATTTCCAATAAAATTTCACGAAAAATCCAAAAAAAGAAAACCGCAAGCACTCAGGTCAGGGCTAGACTCAAATATTATTTATTTGTACTCGAGGGACGCGGAGACTACTATCAGTCACCCGGATGTATAGAGTCCACCAATCAACTAGAAGGGTGTTCTACTAAACCTAACTTAGGAGAGTACTCCTTAGCCCGACACTGGTAATCGACAAGTGGACAACTAAGTTACAATATATTTAAAATTTATATTTTAGCATGCACATGGATTTCAGGCATACAAAAAGAAGTTGTATCAATTTTGTAGTAAAAATATTTTTTATAAATATTGTATTCGTTCTTATCATGTTTTGTTCTTATCAGTTTTGAAAAGTTTTGATTGTCCACGAGTCGATTACGTCATCGGGCGTAGGACCGCCAACAACCTAAGAAGTTACGGGTCCCCCGCTAGTCTTGTGTCGGTGAATGATACTATCATCCTATAGTTCATCAGGTCCCAGGATTGAGTCCTGATGTCGTAGGATGAAATATCATTCCGCTCTACTACCGGCGTGCCTTTGTCATCACTGCCCTAAGCCCCAAAACAAAACCAACCTACTTGCAACTTTGCTTGATGGTTTCATATATAGCAAAAAACTATATATAAATACTTATGTGTCAGACATAAGCACTGAAAACCGAACCAAGAAGTAAGAAAAAAAAAATAAAAATGGGGATGAGAGAGAGGAGGAACTGATCCACCCAAAAGATCGAAAAGACGAAGGGTGAATCAACCCTCAAAATTTGTAACGGAAAGATCTGAAAAGGAGGGCCCAAGATCCTTAAATCAATCCAAGAAAGATATCATTTTCTTAAATTTTATAAATGGATCAACCTAAGAAGGGTATCCCTTCCAAATCTTGTTTTGATCAAATCTTGTTTTGAACAGGTCGAAATGAGCCCGAATCAATGTGACAACTGTATACACGACTCCACCATCATTACATAATCACACACCCAAGCCTGAACTCAAATGTGACATTTATGTTATCCAAAACTTAATGTCAAACTTTCAAAAAAAACTCTTTCGTGAATGACACTTTTATGAGCTTTCAAATCCTTCATGAATTCGATTCATATCAACTTTATGATTTCCCGAAATGAAGTAGTAAGAGTTTTTCATATTTCACAAATCAAATAAAGGAAAATAATCCAGAGTATGCAACTTTCTAAATTTCCAAAGATCATGTCAATATTAAAACCATTCAATTCCAACCTTAATCAAAAGCTTCTCATGTCAAATAAACATGAAATCATCCAGATAAAATCATATAAATGCTCACGGCCAGAGGTAACAGAGGGGACAACCACCAGCCCAACTTATCACATAGAGAACTCACAAGATAAGGCTCACGACTAAGGCAACAAAAAAAAGACACCAAGAGAAGGCACAACCAAAACCACATAACAAGCCCACAAGTAGAGACCAGAAAAAAACACAACCAAACCCTCAATATAAGCTCACGAGTAGGGGCAGCAAGGGAAAGCCACCACATATATTGTTATTATGCTCTTTTGATATACATAAGAGAGTGAATGGACAAGCTCTTGTAAATCATCCGAACTGAAACCATTTTCATCAAATAAGACATGATAGTGAGTTGGTCTGCTTATATCAAACATTCCCACATAGAAGCACATATTGAAATCATAATTTTTTTTGTATGAAAAACTTTATTATCAACGACAATCATAGGAGGAATGTTATCCGGAGAATCTCCAACCAAACCGAGCCCAACAAGAGGGGAAAACAGAATGACATGTTAGGCAAAACGAGCCCAGCAAGAAGGGCAAACAGCGTAACAACTCAGGCAAACCGAGCCCAGCAAGAAGGATAAAACAAAGAGCCGTAAAAGGTAAACCGAGCTCAGCAGGA